TTTGATGTCATGGTCTGAAGCCACAAATGGGTCAAATTAGCATCTCCACCCGGATGCTGTACTCTCAGCCATGGCCCGAATCAGGTTTCCTCAAACAATTGTCTTTGAGCAGGTGAAAGCTTCTTTGCAATTGTAGTGGCCAGGCTGACTTTATTTCTCAAGGTCAATTGAGCCGAAAAAAATTTCTACAAAAACAATAAACATACCAAGTTAGATATACCAAAAACTACACTGTGAAGATATACCAAAAACAATAAACATAAAAAGTAGTAGTTTATTCTTGAAACTAAAATTTGCAACACTGTTTTGTCTTTTGGTTGAAATGAAAATCGCAACGAGAGAATCGCAACGCGAGATGACAATCGCAACGAGAGAATCGCAACGCGAAATGAAAATCGCAACGAGAGAATCGCAACGCGAAATGAAAATCGCAATGCGATTTTGGTTTCGCGTTGCGATTCTCTCGTTGCGATTTTCATTTCGCGTTGCGATTCTCTCGTTGCGACAGTCATTCTCTCGTTGCGATTTTCATTTATCTCGTTGCGACTCTTCTGCAAATTGAAACTTGAATGGATTGCATTACTTCAACCAAAAGACAGAACAAAGACAAAGACAAATACTAACTTGAAAATCGCAACGAGAGAATAGCAACGCGAAATGAAAATCGCAACGACAGAATCGTAACGCGAAATGAAATCTAAGTGAAATGGTTAATCTATTATTGAAATGACCAGTAAACTTATCATCAGTTTCAATATGAAAAACCTACAATAATGCAAACATTTCAAAATAAAAATAATTAAAAAAACTAACCCTCGGAGGTTGATTTTCCATTTCTGAATATTGTGAGGGATTTCTGACCGTGAATGGTTGTGAGGGATTTCGCCGGAGATGGGGACGGAAATCTTCGGAGATGGGGACGGATTTCTTCGCCGTAGAGAGTGAGAGATGGAGATGGGACTGAGTTGTGATTTTAGGTTTTAGGTTATGAGTTGCGATTACGGGATTTTGTCTTAATATTCTTTTTGTAATTTGAAAATAAAATACGCGTAGCGATTATAATGGCGCTTTAAATATCGCGTTGCGATTTACGGGTACGCGTTGCGATTTTATGTATTATCGTTGCGATTTACGGATACGCGTTGCGATAAACGGATACGCATTGCGATTTACCCATACGCGTTGCGATTTACGGATACACGTTGCGATTTACGGATACGCGTTGCGATTTATGTGTTCGCGTTGCGATTTTCATATTCGCGTTGCGATTATGGAAAATCGCAATGCGAATTTGTACTATCGCATCGCGATTTTCAAGAATCGCGTTGCGATTTTGGAAACTGATTTGCGATTCTGGAAACTGATTTGCGATTCTGGGGATCGCGTTGCGATTTTTATTTCGCGTTGCGATTTTGTTGGTCATTTTGGCAAATCCAAAAAAAGTTGGTTAAAATCGTATATTATAACTTTTTTTTGGTCACTGAGGCGATTTTCTCTAATTTTAAAAACCAAAAGCGACACTTTTAATGGACAGGGAGAGTATTTTATTTTTGTTTTAACTTATTAAATATATTTTATTTTTATTTTTACTTTAATATAAAAATATATATTTTATCTTTATCATCACTTAAAAATATATTATTTTAAAATATATTAATTTAAATATATTTAAATATTTTATTATTAATTTAAAATAAAAAATAAAATATATTTTTGAGTGAAGATAAGAATAAAATATATATTTTTATATTAAAATAAAATATATTAATAAGTTAATATAAAAATAAAATATATCTAATAAGTTAAAACAAAAACAAAAGATATTTTTGAAATTTAAGATATATAAAATATTATTAATTTTTAGTAAAATATTTACATAAATACAAGATATATATCTTTTGTTATTCAAAATGTATCAAATGGATGCTTTGGCTCAATGGTTTTGAATCCTCCTGCTTGCTGCTACTTGATTTTTTTTTTCAAGAGGGTGACACTAATGACACGTGTCATCATTTGATTGGAGAACTAAATCTATTTTAATTTATTAAAATTAGGACCAAATTAAAAGAAAATATAAATAACAAGGACCAATTGTATAATTATACCAAAATGTTCTGTCAAGTCACTTCCTCTGTTAAATGTTAACGGAGGGTGCTTGATGACTTGATTGAAATATTTAAATAGTTGAGTGATCTGATTGATCGAATCAAAAACATCAGTGGTTAAAATAATTTTTGACCATAATTAAGTAGTCACCCGTGTAATTTACCCAGATGTAAAGGTGGTGAACTATGTAATATTGACGTTAAATTTCCCTCAACGACATTGTTATCCTAATTCAAACATAAAAATATTATACTTATATAAAAAAATAATTAAAACATAGAATTTTATAAAATTTAATGATTCATAATTATTCTTCTATATTGCACAAAATTAACTATAGTAATATTACCCGGAATAATATGAACAACAATGTATCATGTTTGCCATACACATAGCAAGGGTTATTACCATATCATGCATGCATCGTAACATCGTAACAATAGTAAAACAGAGATCGATTCTTTAAAAATCATCAGTCATATGAATCAAACAACTTCGGTGATAAAGGAATTATTATTATTCTTATATTATTTTGTGTTTACCTCATATTAATAAAAACGAGAAAAAAATCATTCGTAAAAAAAAACAAATGTGAAAATAAAAGTGATTAAAGCAAATCACAACACTTTAATAAAGAAAGTATTCTTCAAATATTTTAGCATATCAAGCTTTCATTTCTTTTTTTGCATATATACGTTGTTTGCTAGAAAATTTGGTAAGACATCCCTTAATTGATCACCTATACAATCTTATAACTAATTGCTTATACTTTTCATCATCTGTACTAGTCATCATTCACTGCCATCTCATTCATTGCTCACAAAACACAAATGGAGAAGAATAATGAGAGAGAGATTAAGCATCGTTTTCATGAGTACCCCTTGGTGTTTGAGGAAGATCAAAGCAATGAAGGTGAGAAAGCTTACTGCTCTCGGCCTGTGGGGATGTGATTTTAGGTCCATGCTTTAGATGTGCACCCTGCAATTATCACCTTCATCACAACTGTGCCTTCGCACCCTATTCAATTTCCAGCCACCCTCTCCATCCTCGGCACTCTGGTTTTTTTCTTCGAGATGGGCCATATTCTGGTGATAAGGTATATTGTTGTGCATTATGCAAGGAGAAACGTTCTTTTATGAATGTCGTTATTGTTACTTTTCCCTTGACAACAAATGTGCTGATTTATCTTCTTCATTTAGTAAGGTCAACCAAGAGTCCAAACATGACATCCTCCCACATCCATTGATCTTCATTCCAAGTCCCATAGATAGACTCAAAAGCTTGTATTGCTCTTGTTGCCATGAACCCTTGGTTGGTGCATTATATATTTGTCTTGTTTGTCCTCTCATCTTTCATAAGACATGCATTCCTTCCCATCGCATACACCCTCTTTTTCTTGAGTCTAAAGAGAATTCTCTCTTCTGCAAACTATGCCAAAAACAACATTATGGATTCTTTTATTGTTGTTCTGTTTGCAATTTTAAGATCAATATTTTATATGATCGATCTAAGTTCATCTGAGTCTATGCAGTCTTCCATCAATCGTGTTCTTGAGGTTAGTGAAGATGGGGAAGCCACGAAGATTGAACATTTCAGGCATGAAGGTCATTTCTTGGAGTTAGCAGACAAGATGGAGGAGGAAACTGAATAACTGATAGAAGATGTGATGGGTGCATGCTACCTGTCTCAACTCTGTTTTATTATTGTTCTGAATCAGAAAGCCATTTCTGTCTTCACAAATATTGTGCTGAGTTGCCAAGAGGGCGTCATTGGTTTCGCCGATCTACTGCCATTCTCAGCTCCAAAAGCTTCGAGTATTGTAACTTGTGCGGTCGATATTTTAGTGGTTTCTTCTACAAAATTGGAGTACTCGACGTTTTCTTAAGAGGTGACACCAACACTTCCTGTTTTATGATTGCATTTATGCAGGGAGCCATGTAATGGTTGTGGCACTCACCCAGGTCGGCATGGAGCATTCAGATGTGGAGAGTGCAGTTTTACTTTAGATTTGAAATGCTTATCACTATCACGTTCAGCTCTTCATAAATTTGATCAACACAAGCTAAACCTTACATGTCATGACGATAATGATTATTCAAAGCATCGTTATTGTGATAATTGTGAAGGAAAAAGAGATTGGAACCTCTGGTATTATTATCGTTCCATTTGTGATACGTCTGCTCATCCCAATTGTATTCTTGAAGAACTTCCATTTCTGAAGGATGGGATCGCATTGCCTTCTTATAGTTACGGCATCATCATGATCTTCAGTTTCATAGGAAGGCTGAGGACTACCCTAATTGCTAGTCATGTGATCAGTGTTGCCGAGAAGATATTCTCAGGTGTACACAATCTACATGCAACAATATTCTTCTACGTTAGTACGATCAGCCACTGAACTGAACCTCACATTACAGCCTTCTATTTTGGATCAAAAATGCCGACTCCCTACTTGAATCGTTCGACTCTTTAGTTGTTTCAACCAGTAACTTCCGGACAATGAACAACGTTCGATGATATACCCGATAATCCTTTCTCCTCGATTCTAATAGCAAATATTGTATCTCCTACCTCCATATGGATCACTTCATCTACACGCTTCAATTGGGAAGTTGATATCAACATGCTGACTGTACCTGTTATCTTAATGTTTCATACTACCCATCGTCTTCATTTGGTCATTTTCTTTTCTAATACTGATCTCTGCTTCTATATCTCGCCAATGACACCAACATACGTTCCGTTCGGCGAAATCCGACTTTTATTAGAGAAAAATGCTCTTACAAAATCACCGAATGCCTCGTCGAAAATCCCTCCGATTAGAAGAGAAAAAAAGAGTATAATATGACGATCACAAGTAACTATAATAATCATTAAAAAAAGAGTATAATTTTTGCTCGTTTCTCCAGAACATACAAAGCCGCTTGGTCAACTTTTGTGTCAAGTTTTTCGTCATCATCTTCATCGTTGCTGTTCTTGCTATTATCATCAGCTTTAATAATACTTCAGGTCACTCCGTTGTTGCAGATTTCAATATTATCTTCCCCACCAAGCAAGGGTTTCTCTTCAATGATCTCTCCCTCCGACACACCATCTTTAACAATCACAACGGGAAATTTCAAAGGCTTTTCAGGCCAATCCTTAAAGAAAGAATTCATAGCCATGAATCGGAAAACCTGCAACAACCGGCTTTTATCTTTCCTTATATCAGCACTTAGAAGCTTCTGCAGAAGGGTCGGACTCCTCTTGTTGAAAGAAGTGCCATCGAATGACTCCACCGTTGTTGATCTATGTTTCTTGGGAAAACGGTCCCTTTTATCCAGTTTCCCTCTTTTATCATTTCTCGATCCAAATCTTCCCCTCTTGGTTGACAGCCTGTGGTTTTCTTCCCTTCCATCCACCTTTTTCTCCGAACCTAACAGATAATGTGACGGAATTTCTGCAACTTCGACTCCTAGCTCAGCTTGCTTTTCCAAAATCTCCTTGAGTTGCTACAACAAAGATTTGGATATATATTATATAGAAATATATAAATAAATAAAAAAAGAAGAAAGAAAGATATCAAGAAAAAATAAGAAATGTACCTCACTTCGTAATTTGGCAACCTCGGTGTCTGCTACATTTTTACTCAGTTTCTGCAGCCAGCAAAGTCGATTATCATCGAACATGTTTAAATGAAAATAAAATGAATTGAAATGGAAAAGTATTCAACAGATAAATCCAACCTTCTTTAAGTTAGCTTTTGTCGGATAGAACTTCTTACGTTCTTCACGCCACTGTCTTATTTCTTGCTCCGTATAAGTCAAAGCAAGCGATCTTCTCATTATGAAAGAATTTTTGACACATCAAAGCAGAGATTAATAAGAAAGAAGGTAAATCTAACACACGAGAAAATATAACACAAATTACAGGAAATGTTAATCATAAGTGCAGGAAAAGAAGATTCTGTTGAGGATGATTTCACTGAACTGTAAACTAGAATTAGTTCTGTCCCATTAGCCTCCCTGTTGGGAATTATTATCAAGGACTACACAAACACTTTCGTACAAGTGTTGAAATATATGTTAGGTTATCATACATTTAAACAACTAAACTCATAGAACTTAAAACACCAAATCGCTGTGGAATTCTAAAAATTCAGATGTTAGCAAATGAAAACAAGTAACCCAATAGAGCATGAGCATTCCTTGTTCCATTTTCATTCACAAAGTGGGATTTTGTCTTCGGACATATAGGGCCTTGAACAGTGGATGTTAAATTGACCGATCATCAATAATTCAACTTTATACGAGCAATAATTTAAACATCTCACTGAAATGGAGTCAATTAAGGGTCAGGCAACTAAGGATTTTTAACATGATTGCGTAGAATGATTCCGATTGTAACGACCATTACAATATTCAAGGAATTAATAAAATTAACCATATGAAGTCCATTTATTGAACTTAATGCAATCCATCCTCACTTAAAAGTATTTTCAACTAAAAAATGCCCCATGTTACCACCTACAATTTTTGACAGATGAGTATGAGTAAACCAAAATTACCTTTTCTTTTCTTTAGCTGGATTTGCAGAATTAGAATGAGGAAAGTGAGCTGCCCTCTCATTATCCAATCCTGTTATTTTTATCCAAGGTGAGGAGAAATTAGAATTTTTAGCAAAAGAATCAAGTAGCAAAAAACAAATAAAAGAAAATGGTAGGCAGAAAGGAATCTGATATCTATTATCAAGCCATTGTCACCAAAAACGCAAAATTATGCATGGGAAAAATTGCCTGGCTAGTTTTTAAAGAGTAAAAACAAATAAATAAATGGTGACAAATCGGTACTTCACCTCAACCATAAATTTCTAGATATTTGTACATTGGCATTCACGGATTAATTAAAACAAATCAAACAAACTATATTTTTAATACCCTTTCTCGCTTTTTTAGTTTCCAACCAATAGGAAAGAATGTAAGCTTCACAATAGCTTAGCTCTATTGATCACAAAATTCAGTGATCCAAACCAAGTCTGGAATGCTTAAGGAGTTAAGGTCTTGGTTTATTTGTGTTTAAGCGTAAACTTTTACACTCCTAACGAAGTATCTGAAAAACAGAAAACCTTCCATCTTTTTTTTGCAATGCTAAACTAACTGTGCGAATAAAACTTATTTGTCGGCCAGAAACATAAATATCAACACTAAAAGCAAATTCCATCAATCACTCTGTTCACACCTTGCATATCCTATTCTATTTCTTGAACCCTATGACTAGCTCGGATTTCCAACTTAAACCCTATTTCACTATTCCAAAGAAACTATTGCAGCACCCAGTCCCTGCAGTTTATTTTCAATCAGATAACTGGAAATGCTAGTTAGGAAACAATTGTGATATCATACTCATCAGGCCATAGATAACCAGACACGAGATTAAGAAATCAAGACTTCAGATTTGAACTACTACTTGTCCGAGTGAATCACTAATAATTCTTTTCAAAGATGCTTATGTCAGTTCATCTATAATCAGTTCCATTTGAATTATAAACCAGATGATGTGACAATTGTATTAATATTGCAAATGTCAAATAACTTCTTTTTCTCTTCTTTCTTTAATCTTTTTGGTTTGATGCTTTATCACAAAATAAAGACAAGTATGTTTTTTAAGTTATTCGAAATTCATTAAGAAGAAAATTATAAGTCAAATGAAATTCATTAAAATGTTAACCTTTTTTCTTATGTCCGTTAGAAGATGCAAATGCTCTCTTTGCATTATCCGCTTGATGGAACCCAGGCTGCTGGAACTTAGAATTCTTGAATCTACAAAATTGAAATTCAGCTGTATAAAAAGCCAAAAATCGAGGTCTTTTACAAAGAGAAGCTAGAAACCGAAAGAAGATTAAAAATACAAACCCCAATTTTGAATCCCTTTTAGCATTTCTTCCAGGAAAATTGTTCATGTTCTGACCATTTTTACCGACACCACTCTTCAAGAATTGAAAAGACATATTAATTTCAAAAGCCAAAACAAAAGGATAAAATAGACCCAAAACATTCTGGAAAAGAATAATGCCATGTATCAACCATTTCCAGCTTAACAATTAGTAAATTTTCGCATTAAATGACATCAAAGCAGCTTGAGAAGTTCTGTATAGGGAAAAGGAATAGCATAAGCTATTAAGAGAAGACTCCCAACTGAAGGAGCATATCCAATAGTAATTATATCCTTCAAAATTCTCAGAAGTCATTGATTAATAGATAATGCAAATTCTCAGAAGTCATTGAAACTTTGAAAGAATTGCATCCCCTAAAATAGATGCTTTAATCTACCAAAGGCAATCAGACTTTCTCAAACAAATTTCAAAGTTAACATTAATAAAAAAAAATGGAAGTTTGTACTTGTGAAGCTGCTGCAGACAACAAATTGGATGCATTAACATCGGCTAAATTTTGCTGACCCTGACCGGCTTGCTGCTGCATCAGGTTTGGCTGTATAAACCCGAAATGCGGATTCTGAATAACAGTAGGATTGAGACATCCCATTGCTTGGCCACCAGAAACAAGCTGTGAGAGATCAGGGAGTTGAACATTTAAAAGTTGGCTCAGATTCTGCAACTGATTCCGTAAAAAAAGCTGCTGTTGTTGCGGCTGCTGCCCATTTGTCAATCCAATATTACTTTGTTGGGGGAAATTCAACCAATTCGGCTGATTCGGATTGTGCAAAGGGTAGTTATTGAATTGAGCAGGAACCTGTTGTAACATCGAAAGATTGTTCGGATTTTGCAAAATTGGACCAAAATGAGGAAACCCCATATTGTTACTTGGCGTCTGAAACTGCTGGTTAGCTCCATTCATGAATCCAACATTATTCAACAATGGCGTAACACTGGGATTACTACTATTATTAAAAATACCCATTTGCGGTTGCATCATAAGCATGTTCATGTCGTTAGTGCACTGATTTCCAGCCGCGGAACTTGATTGAAATCCATTCTGTTTGATGAAAACCAAATTCCAAATTCAAAAAGACGTGAAACAAAGACAGTAAGAGAGGGTCAAAGAAGACTACCTGCTGGGGTTGATGGGGAAACGAATTGAAATGAGGTCTCATTGGGTTATCACTGAGTACCAAAGAAACCGTCGGGATTTGCCGACTGACGAGAGATTGAGATTTTGGCGGTGAAGTGTTTCGAGGGTTTTAGGGTTTTTCTCAGGGATTATGGATTTCATAAGCAATTCGGGTGCCCACCAGTATAAGGCCCAAACAGCTCATTGTGTTTAGAGATGAACAAAACTCGATTAGATTTTAAAAAATTAATATTTTTATCGTACTTGATCTAAAAAAATTTAATTTAAATTTACTTCGAATGTAATCTCATAAACCCGAATCGATTCAAAAAATTTAAATCCAAATTAACTTAGTCCAAATTGGCTTGTGAAATACAATTCAATTAATTTGAAATTTTGGTTGAATACAGGTGTATGGGGCCGTCTAGTTGCCCGTTATATCAGCTAATAACAACTCCTCTGCTTCCTTTGGGTAATTTTGTAGAAAAATTGTGTCTTTCTAGTACTTTCACATCTGTTTGGCGACAAAGTCAGCAACGCGATTGGCCTCCATTGGTATGTGCTTTAGATCCACTACCCAATTTCTCTCTGTGTTGAAGAATTATTTATTTCTTGTGTTTAATCGATCTGTTTTTGATAAGGTTGACAGCCTCCTTATTGTCTGATTCCAAAATCACGTTTCTTTCTCCCCTCATCCAAGCTATTTTTAAGCTCTCGTGAATACCCCACAATTTTGCTTCCAGGATAGTACATATTCATATTTTCCTACCAAATCCCCAACGTCAGTTTCCATTGTAATCTCTTACGACCACTCCACACATTGTTTCTCCAGTATTCTGACGTTTGGTTCCATTTATGTTGATTTCACAGTAATTAATATATAGTTTTTGCCATCTGCACCGGATATTATTTCTGTTTGGATATTGTTGGAGTTTGTAATTTTCAAGTTTAGTATCTCCTGGGTAAGTCTACTTGCTTGTTGAATAATTGATTCTCTTTCAATCATTTATGGGTCAATCATTTTATATGATTATAAAAATTATTTAGATTTGAATTAAATAATATTATAATATTATAATTATTTATAATGAAATTCGAAAAGAAACTCAAAAATTCTAATTCTAATTGATTCGAAAAAATTTTAAGTTAATTTTGAGTTGTAAAATATGACTCATCAACTCGAATAATTCAAAATTTTATGACTCAACTCGATCAGACGCTCACCCCTAATTGTTCTTATTAAAGGGTAAAAGAATTGTACAAGTCCTTGTATTATGCTACAATTTCATTTTAATCTCTAAATTTTATTTTATTATAATAAAATGAACCAAAGGTTATTATTAAACCATGCTCAAGTAATATTTTGATAAATGAAATTTCAAAAGTTATAAAATAGTCATTAAATTTATTAAATTATTATAAAATAATTATTATATTATTATATTTATAATAATTAAACCAACTATTATTATTTTATAAGATAAATTTACTTCAATAATATCATATTAGTCTAAAATACGACGTGATATGTTTATTAACGCTTTGTATCGTAATTTTTGAGAGTTCAATTTAGTCCATTTGACGTGATTTTTTAAAAACACTTTCAGGTAAAAAGTTTGTTTCGATCGTAAAATTAGTGTCAAATAGATAAAAATTAAAAAAAATGATGGTTTCAAACTAACCGCAAAAGCTAAGATTTATAGTTTTTTCAGTTTCAAAATTATAATTTTACCACAACTAATACATGAGATTCACTCAATTATAATTTAATAAGTGTCTATAATAGATATTTTGTCTTTTCAATCTCACTTTTTAACAATAATCTCAAACAGTTAAATTTTAAATTGTACTTTCATACTATACTTTTAAAAATTCATTTCTACGACACTTTTAAAATTCACTTTTCAAAAATTGCGCCAAATTCACCCTTAATCAAAGAAAAAGAAAGTTCAAACAACTTGTATCTCATGAATTAATAATGTATGGAATTATATTGATTTAATTATAATTTATTTTATTTTTTAAATAATTCACCCTTAATGTCGTTCGTGTGCATGTATAGGAGTTCCAATTGCTACACTTAACCGCAAATCACATTATGTCCCACTCCAGCAACCTATATATCTCCAGAAAATCCTACCGCCTCCCGATTTCGCCATTCTGTATAGGAAAAACTAAGCACTCTACTCCCAAATAAACCATGTATTGCTGCCTCGGAGATTAGATTACCTTATACGCTTTCGCTTTTCGACGTCCGCCGGTTCTAGTATCCGTATCCTGACAGAGTTTCCGATGGAGCAACGATGTTAGAAAATACGAAATGTACAAAAGAATTAACAAAGAGAATGCTGCATTTCAACTCGAGTGCATGCCTGAGTTATCCATCGGGTTGCCATGGGCACTGGCTTGGGTTCCTTTATTTCAACAACCACGTAATTGGACATCAAGAACGTCTTAGCCACGGACGCTGCATGCTCCAAGCAACATCTAACCACCTGAAAAAAAAAGAACATTTAGCTGTAATCTCTACCGGCTTGCTCACTCGTAACTATAATCGAATTCAGAACAATAATTATATGGGAACTAACCTTGGTTGGATAAAAAACCCTTCAGACATGAGATCCTCGTATTTTCCAGCGGCTGCATTGAATCCATACCTGGGGTTTTCCTCGGAGAGGACCTGCAAATAACTATATAAAAGAAGGAACAACCACTGGTATTAGCAAACTGCATAAATTGGGAATGTGGTGCTCATTTCAACTAGAAATGGTTATGCCTCGTACCTTTTCGCTCACCACACTTCCATTAACGTCGGCATTCTTAGCAATCAATTTTAGAGGGTAACCCAGAGCTCTTTTCACAATATCTGCTCCAACCTGCAGCAAATCAAAGATATTAAGGAGATTTTTCGACGGCCATGTGTGTGTGACTGCAAAACAATCCAAAATCAAATGATGTGGATGATATACAGGTGAAACTTTGTCACGGATCAGATTCTTTAATATTATCCTATCGTTTATTCACATGTGTGGACTATGTTTAATGTTAATACACTGATCTGTTTCATGTCACCCTGTCATTTGTATTTTATTATTGGGTTTCCTTCGATATTGCAGGGTAGTGAATCTGATTCTGATGCAGACAGGGTGAGAGGTCGTAAAAGAGAAATTATTAAGAAAGGTCGTCACAGGCATGATTCTAGGGAGGATTACTCTGATTCTGATGGTGGGAGGGAAAAGAAGAGAGGTGAAATTCGAAAACGGATGATCGAGTTGACTGGGAGCCAGAGGAGATAGAGGGACAGCACAGGTAGCGAATCTGATTATGTTGCAGACAGAGTAAGAGGACGTAAAGAAGGAAACAGTTCAGAAAATTCGTAACACGCATGACTCCAGTGAGGATGGCTCTGATTCTGATGATGGGAGGGAAAAGAAAGGTGAAGTTAATAAACGAAAGAATGAGTTGACTGTGAACGAGAGGAGGGAGGGGGACGACATCAATAGTGAATCTGATTCTGATGAGGACAGAATGAGAGGTCGTAAAAAGGACACGGTAAAGAAAGGTTCTCGTAGAAACGACTCAAGTGAGGATGACTCTGACTCGGCTGATAGGAGGGAAAGGAAGAAAAGCGAATCTGATTTTGATGTAGATGGAGCAAGAGATCGGAAAAAGGAAATAGTAAAGAGACATGGCCATAGGTATGATACAGAAGATGACAATGATTCTAATAGAAGTGATGAAAAAGTGGAAAAGGGTAGGAGAAGAGGTAGGAGACATGATTCTGATGATGATGAAAATTCCAATTGGTCCCATGGTAGGAGAAGTGGAAAGGCTACAACAGCAAGAGAAAGGACTGCTAGGAAATTGGTGTCTCCGAGTGATGATGGTGATGCAAGTCCTAGTGACTCTGACAAAGACAGAAGAGGACATAGAAGTGATGATGACAGTCACGGTGTTAGAGGTAGTCGTCGATATCAAGAAGGAAAGGACTTCGCATCTTCTGCAGCCAAGAGTGATGAGAGAAAGGGAAGAACCCTAAATAAGGGTGAAAGATTAGAGAGATTGCAGAAATCAGGGAACAATAGGGAAATGATGAAGGGCAAGAGGAAGCTCGATGATGAGTACCATGACGAGCAGCCAGAATTGAAGTCAAGAAGCCGAAACTTAGGCATGGGTTCTTTTCTGATTTTTCAGTAGTAAAACAAATTTTATTGCGGAACTGTATCCAATAAAATAAAGAGTAAATTACTCTTTTAGTACTTAGATGAATAATTTTAATCTGTTTTAGTACATAAATTTTCATTTTTGGCATAATACTAACAATAACTCTCAACGTTTTATCAAGATGGTCATTTTGGGTCATATTCTTTTTTTTAGAACATTTTAGTCTTCATGTTTCCTAAGCTTCCTCTAGATGAAAATAATTATTTTAACACTTAGTATTTCAGAATAAGATCATTTTTAACCTAAAATGAAACATTGAGGGCTAAAACGTCTCAGAAAAAGGAACAAGGGATAAAATGAAACTTTATCAAATGTTATGAGTATTTTTGTCTTAAAATAAAATGTGAAGGGTCCAATTGCTTCAAAAAAAAAATAGAATAGAAGTAAAATGATCATTTTAATAATAAATGTTAGGAGGTTAATTTTAACATTATATTTTAACTTTTTTTTTTTCAAAATCATACGATTTTGTTTTATTTTAGTTTCTATTAAACATTAAAAACTTAACTTTAAGTTTCAAAAAAATAAATAAATGTTAAAACACTAAAACTAATCATTTAAGTATTAAACACATTAAGTTTTTATCGACAAATACTAATGAAATAAAAATTAAACGACGAATATAATTTTGAAAATACTAAACATTTGGATACTAAAATAGATCAAATTTAATTATTTGTTTAGGTAATAAACACTCTAAAACAAAAGTAATATTCTTATTCAAATTTAATTGAAAATATAATATTAACATATTATGATAATTTTATCGATTTTGAAATATAAAAACAAAATATTCTAATCAAACCAAATAGAATTCGAATAAACTTGATAGATATCAAAAGGTTCCGACTCTTCATTTTACTTAAAGTACTCGTGTAAACCCGGAGTCTACACAAATTCGAAAACAGACACAAGGATCTCAACGGATAGTACAAGCTCTCCCTGTAAATCACCATTAGGAAGAAAACGACCGCCTACGATTCCGACACCGAACAGGCCCGATCATCTTTCTCGTATCGATCCACAACCCTGTATCCAATGATGTCGGAATATTCTATTCGTTTTCAGCATCTTCCTTTTGGCTAATCTGTTCTCCTAAATGCACAAAACCTAAAAGCCCAAGTTTTCCAACATATTCATCCATGTTAACATCTTATTGTTCAGATACACTAATTCCAGGATTGAGATTACCGAGCAGCAGCTACTAAGGAAACCGAGTCCTCGGTCTTCCCCTACCCCTTTTCTTGATAGGATTACCATGTCCATCCACCACCGGTGTAGCCGGTTTCTGTCCTTGATTACCATGTGCAGCCATCGGTGTAGCCGGTTTCTGTCCTTGATTAACATGTGCAGCCATCGGTGTAGCCGGTTTCTGTCCTTGATTGCCATGTGCAGCCATCGGTGATACGTTTTGGCCATTAGAAGGTTCGACCGTGAACGGCCGAATCGGTGAAGCAGTTGGATTGACACCGTTTTGGTTAGGGCTTGATCCGCTAAATGGGAAAAAGGGCGAAAACCCGGACGGGAAAGGGCCGTTAGGAGATACACAAACAAAAGGAGCACCCTCGGACGGCCCCGGGAATATAGGAACCAAAGTGCGAACCGGTTTTACATCCAGAACTTGGGATTTATTGATTGAACTTGTTTGAGCAGTGTTTCCACCCATCACCCCTTCCATTCCAAACAAAAATCTTCTCAACCAAAGTTATGCACTACACAAAGCACCAATGTGAACCAAACTTACACAAAGATCAGTCCTTCAAACTGAAAATTTCAACCTGGACCGGTTTACGAACTAAACCGAGCTCCTGAGAGAACCAAAATTATACAAAGATCACCACTTTGAACAAAAGAATCACCTTACCTCTTCAAAACCAGGAAAACACCCACTTCAGTTCTTCACTTGTTTTATGCACTAAACCACAAAAACTACACAAAATCAGCCCTTTTGAACCAATAATTTCCCCTTTCTTCTTCAAACCCAATAAACACCCACTTCATTTTTCTCCATTATTGACTCTTTATGTTCTAAACCAAGCTATTATCTGAAACAAAATCACAGAAAATATCAGCCCTTTGAACTGAAACCACACAAAGACCAGCACTTCGAACCCAAAAAAATCCCCTTTTAATTGGTTTTTCTTTCAAAAACAGTGAATACCCACTTTAGCTTTCTCAATTCTTGACTGGTTTATGCACAGAATCAATGTCCTAAGTGAAAGAAAATCACAGAACAAAGAATCGAATTCTGAGGGAAGAAAGGGTTCTTCAAAACAAGAAATACCCATTTCACCATTTCATTTTTTCACAATCCGTGAATATTTTAATTTTAAAAAAGGGGTGAAACAAACAAATAAATACAAAAACAGAAAGTGTAGAGAGAAATAGATCTAGGGTTATCTCTTGAAAAGAAAGCGATTATTATTAAAATTTTATGATGAAATTAACATGAGAAAGTGATGTTTACCTAAAGAAGAAGATCATGGACGTGAAGAAGACTGAATCGACTTGGAGAAATAGATGGGAATTGGGAGGGCTTAAAGCTTTGTACTAATAAGATCATAAATATACACCTACCCATGTACTTGAAAAATGGAAACAAATTTTAAAGAAAAAAAGAAAGTAAAAAATGTGGGAAAATTAGGTTACTTCCGAAGCATTGCTTTGAAAATCGGATCGATCAATTTAACCGGTTTAATCGAGAATCGTTATCTAGTCCGATCTATTATATCTCGGTTGAATTGGTGCTAGTGAACAGATTTGAACCGTTCGAATCGGATTTGAATCGTTTGAATCATACCGGATATTGAATCGATTCAACCTACATTTTTTTAATTTTTTATTTAATTTTTTAAATAATTATGATGTTGTCCGGTTCTTACGATCGGTCTGATCGGTTCGACCGGTTGAACCAGTGAATCTATAACACGACCGGTTCGCTGACCGATCCGGTTCTAAAAACCATGTTCCGAAGCAGTAAAACTTTTTAAATAAAGGGTAAATTTTAGTATTTAAATTATTAATTTTAATTCGTTTTAGTATTTAAATTTTTAATTTTTTTACTTAAAGTTTAATTTTTATTTTATTTTAATATTACTAATCAAAATTTAACATTTAATTTTTTAAAAAAATAATTTAAGTACTAAACTCTTTAATTTTTTAACAATAAAATATTAAACTGAAATAAAAATTAAATATTAAATATAAATTTAAAAAACTAATAATTTAAATATTAGAACGGATAAAAACTGATAGCTTAAATATTAAATAGATAATTTATCCTTTCAATAATTGGCCCGGAAAAGTCAACTTTTGGGTGACAATTGTGTTATTTTCTAAAAAAATCATTTTTCATGTTAAGAATTTTATATTCAGTTAATTCCTTGAGTTATGCTTTGAATTTATTGTTAATTTATTGGGGTAATCGAGCGTTAGAATTGAGTATCGACTGCATTATTATTTGGTTATATATATGTGAAAAAAATACTTACAATATTTACCTTCAAAAAGTTGCTTACGATATTGAACTAAAAGTAGATATTAGTGTTTATTTATGTTACAAATTATGTGCGATAAAATAATTGTACGACAAATCAAACCAAACAACCTTAATGATTAAAATATTATTGTTATTTTTTGATGTCTTAAATTTGAATACGATATTCATAAGAGTATATAAATATTCATTATTAAATGATTAAAAATATTTCGAACAAAATATCTTTTATTTATCCAGACCAATAAAAAAACTATGATAGTCTGAGATAACAAAATATTTGATGTCAAAAGATGGTGTTATAAACCCTAACAACTTTAACTTAATTCCCAAGAAGATCAGTCCCTTACATTTAACATTGTTAGTTCTAAGGATACCGATCCTTTCTATTTGTCTATCTATCTATTTATTTTCTAAGGCTATATAATTAGTTAAACGAGTCTTGCTTGTTGTGTTAAAATGGACTATAACTCATCGTGTGGCTCGGATTCTCCAACTTTTTCATCGGTTGATCCATCCGAGTCCCCAGCTGGCTTGTCGTTTTCGGAGGTATCCTTCTCTGGAGTCGAGTCGGAACTGGTCGTGTTGTCTGATTTGGTCTCGGTTTCGTTCTTTGCAGGCTTCTCAAATTTAGGTTTCGGCTTCGGGATTCTCTTAGCGCTAGCAGCCTAAACAAAAAGCGACGTATTAACCACGAGTTTCACGCGTTTAAGCAAACAACAAGGTGACCTTATTATCAAATAGAACAAGCAGCCATACCTTGTCTTGCAAATTGAATACCTTCTCGTATGCTTCTTCAGACGTGAAAACAGGAGTGCTGTAACCCGAATCCTGGAGAGAAGGTTAACATGAACTTTGTCAAGTTGAGCACGAAAGAACAAGGTTCGAAAGCAGAATTAAACGAGAGACACACTATAGGAGGCGGGGGATGTGTTGGACATGGATATGTTCGATTATCATTCAAGATTTGCTAGGGTCCTTGGTCCACCCTATACCTATGTTTGGACTAGTACATAGGAACTTCAAGAAATGAAGAGAGGGGCACACACACACACACACATAAAGATCCGACATCGCACTATGTTATACGAATGCCGTGACTTTAAACATAAAACTAACAGCAATAACTTACTTCTTTTGCTCCACCTCCTTCTCATCCAACCAAGTCTTCAACTTGTCCATACTGCTCGACAACTGAAAAGCAGAAGTGTATTCAAGTTTTCGCCGCAAGATAAGCTGAAATCTAAGTTAGAAAATATCATAAACAGAATTTTGAAGGTGAACAAAATACCTCATCCATTCTGTCTTTCGGCAGCCAAGGTTTGTCAGTCTCCCACCCGCGAATAGTCTAAACAGATACCCACAAAAGTAAATACAACATGTTTTGATCTTATCTAGCCTCTCGCTAGATTTTTTGTATGGTGGTATGTGAAAAACATTAGATCTCTACCCCCAAAAGTAACAACTAAACAAAACCTTGTAGATAACCTTTAGAAAGCATGTAAAGATAAACAATCTGACTGACGACTAAACTCTCGAGATAACGTTCTCGAACAAATTATTTCACGAGATAATGCTCTCCCAAGATTAATTGCTCATATAGGGTGAAATCCACAGTGTTGGTCGTAGGTCGCCATGTTGTCCGGGCGACCTACTAGGTCGTCATGTCTTCCCGGCGAGCTATGAGAGAGATTGCATGTGCCATGCACGTTCCAACACGCTGGGCATCTGAGGCCATCCGACTGAGGGCATCCGACCGAGGCTATCCGAGCGAGCTATGCGAGGGCATCCGAGGGAAAGAGGAATCACGCGAGGTACAGGAGGGAGTGCATGGCGACCTACAAGGTCGCCCGGAGTGCATGGCGACCTATGCTTGGGGACGTGCATGGCTGGCCACGTAGTAGGTCACCCGGAAGGCATGGCGACCTACGACCAACACTGTGGATTTCACCCTATTTGAACAATTAATCTTGGGAGAGCATTATATCGTGAAATAATTTGTTCGAGAACGTTATCTCGAGAGTTTAGCCCAATCTGACACACCTGTTGCAAGTCGGTGAGGTAAAGTCGAGCAACTTCTACTGCTTCAGGTAAAGTCTTAGATATGAACCCTCTAAAGTATTGAAAATCAAATGTCAAATTTGGTGGCTTTAGTGGCTGCAGAATTCTTTGGTAAAAAATGGCAAATGGACGACTAATTCTTGTCCAAAATAGCTGCAAATTTTATTGATTTTTTGTATGGTAAAATTACTAAAATTAGTCATTATACTTTAGGGTATTTACAAGATTAGTCCTTAAGCTTCAACTATAAATACCCTATCCCATTTAGCTTCAAATTCTTCCAATACTAGAGAGAATTTAGAGAGTTTTTTTTAGAGTTGTTTTCTTCTTTTTATCAAGAGAGAAATATCATTGTTTTCTCCTTGGTAGATTGAGAGAAGTTGTAATTCCTATTTTCTCATAGTGGAATTCTTCTACCGTTGCCCGTGGTTTTTACCCTATATTATTTAGGGGTTTTTCACGTAAATTTTGTGTCTTCTTTATCTTCATTTTTTATTTTCTCAAATTATCAGTTGCGATTTTGCTCTATCTGATAGCCGTCTTCCGCAACAATTGGTATCAAAGTCAGATTTGAGTTTGTAATATCTGCTTATTGTCTTTGTGGTTGCCACCAAAAGGCGGATCCTCCAACATAAGAAAGTAAGAAGGTATTACCCATTCTTTGAAGGTTCCAGAGAACTATTCACGATAGTGAAATAGTGGGAGCTATCCGTAAAAGAAGCTATGCCAACGAAATTTGATATTGAAAAATTCAATGGGAGAAATTTCTCATTCTGGAAATTGAAGATGAAGGCCATCATGAGGAAAGACGGTTGTCTAGCAGCTATCAGTGAAAGGTCGGTAGATTTCACAGATGACAACAAATGGAACGAGATGGACGGGAATGCTATGGCAAACTTTCATCTAGCATTAGCAGATGAAGTATTGTCAAGCATCGAGGAGAAGAAGACATCTAAGGAGATATGAGATCATCTCACCAAATTATACGAGGCCACATCGTTGCACAATAAAATTTTCCTTAAGAGAAAATTGTACACTCTCCGGATGTCAGAATCTACTTCAGTGACGGAGCACTTAAACACGCTGAACACTTTATTTTCTCAACTTACATCCTTAAGATGTACAATAGGAGAACAAGAACGTACTGAACTTCTACTTTAAAATCTACCTGATTCGTATGATCAACTCATCATCAACTTGACAAACAATAATGTCACCTGTCTTCGATGACGTTGCAGCTGTTGTTCTACAAGAAGAAAATCGGCGCAAGAACAAGGAAGACAGACAAGTAAATCTGTAACAAGCAGAAGCGTTGACAATGATGAGAGGGAGATCAACAGAACGTGGCCAAAGTAGCAGTCACAAACATGGTAGATCGAAGTTGAGGAGCAAGAAGAATTTAAAGTGTTACAACTGTGGAAAGAAGGGTCACTTGAAGAAGGATTGTTGGAGTCTAAATAAAAACTCCAATCCACAAGGCAATACCGTAAACACTTCAGATGATGGAGATGCTATATGTTGTGAAGCGTCAACCACCGTGGAAGGTAGAAAGAGATATGCATATATATGGCTCATTGATTCGGGAGCAACATATCAAATGACCTCAAGAAGAGAATGGTTCCATCATTATGAACATATCTCAGGAGGATCTGTGTATAGTTGCAATGATCATGCCTAAGAGATCATTGGCGTGGGAACCATCAAATTGAAGATGTATGATAGAACAATTAAAGTTGTTCGAGATGTACGGCACGTGAAAGGCCTAAAGAAAAATTTATTATCCTACGGATTATTGGATAATAATGCAAGTAAGATTGAAACACGGAAAGGAATCATGAAGGTGTTCCGTGGAGCGCTTGTGGTGTTGAAAGGCGAAAAGATAGCAACAAACTTGTACATGCTAAAGGGAGAGACTTTGCTAGAAGTAGAAGCCTCTGTTGCCTCATGTAGTTCAGATTCTGCAATGCTATGGCATCAGAAACT